GAAAAGTCCATTATTTTTAAATAAGTGGTTGTGATCAAATAACATGAACACATGACTATTTTTTCACATATGAGAATCCACTCCCCGAGTTGAATGACTTACACTTCCAGAATCCATATAAATGAATATATCTCAATTATATGACATTATTATTTTACAATGACATTTAACTCCACAATCAAGGTGGTCTTCTTTCCCAAAAGAAAATGAACTAAACACAAGACCTTAATTTGAACGCCAAGGTTCCCTTAGATCCCCACTACGCTAACAAGTCATTAACTGCAAAAATATTGTGGTTGGAGTTATGCCAAATCTTGGGCAATGGACTCGCTTTCAGTATTGGAATAACAGGTTTTCAATCTACGATAAACTTTTACTGACAAATTTTATCTTTAAAGTGAATAAGTTTTATTTACCTTTAATTTAATAAAATTATTTTTATCTAAATATTCATTACTTAATTTAAGATTAAAAATAATCTTAATTTTTTATTTTAAGAACAAAATAATAAGGTATGTGGGACTTGGATACTTTCACCTTCATATGTGGACGCTATTAAATTTAAATTTTAGGTAGCCGATTACCGTATTTCCGTTTTGGAAAGAAAAATAAAAGATATTACAATATCACTAATGAACAACTAAAACATTTTCCCTAATTTAAGCTGCCAATATTTACTTTTTTCCCCGCATTCTTATAGAGGTTGGGAGAACCAAAATCCCATTAAAATAGCTAAGAAACAAAAGCTATCAAATGTTGAGGTAGAATATTTTGACTACTAATTTTTTCTACTACCACTTTAATCACCATTGGATTAAAAGTTATTTTTCTTTTCTCTCTCTTCATTCAACTTTTCCTCTAATCCAATGGTGAATAAAATGGTAGTGGAGTAGTAATAAAAAAATTAGGTAGTCAAAATATCCTAACCCTCAAATGTTATGTATTAAGATAAAATCCGAACAATTTTTTTATTGATATTTGACTTTTTCATGTGCAAAAAATTCATAATTCTCAAGCATGGGTAAAGCATAATATATGTAAGTTAAATTAATTTATAAATTTTATTTAAGAGTTAGGGGTAATATTTTACTGACTGAATCGTATCAGAATTCTTAGTAAATTTCGTGCAGAGAAAAGATTCCTATAGCAAACACTTTAAAGTCCAAGTTAGTATAAATACAAAATATGTTGAGAATTTAGTTTCAAATGGAACACTCCCCTGTATAGAGTTCCTTATCATTTATAATAGACAGATAGAGTATTTCTGAACAGTGTATAATATATATTTTTTGTTCATAATTACAATCATAGGAAGGTTTTTCATTATAAGAAACGCATATAAAAATCACAGTATGTTTATTCATTAAGTATTTATATAACCTAGACTGACTACCTAATTCGACAAATACAAGTAGCTCAAGTGGTTAGTTTGGCAAGTAGGTGGTCAGATAACTCTACAGCTAACCATAAAATAAAAGAAGTAAATACCCTTTTTAGTCCCTGACAATATTCACGAAGCCTTTTTCAGTCCCTAGTAATAAAAAAGGGACAAATTGGTCCCTGAAATAACAAAAAAGAGGCCATGTTCATCCTTTTGTTAACTCCCACCTGACGGCCCAACTAACGGTGCACAGTTGGCATATTAGTTTGCTGACGCGGCTTGGATGTGGGACACCGTGGAAGACGAGACGACGGCGTTTTGGTCCCTGTCAAAACCACGAGGGCCATCTTGGTCCCTGTCAAAATGCACGAGGACGTTTTTAGTCCCATGACAAAAAGCACGGGGCCCTTATTGGTCCCTAACCAGAGAAAAATAGGCACATGACTTCATTGCTTTTCTATGCAATCCAATTTTGCAAAACAGAAACATGACATTAAATTGGATTTGTATGCAGTCCAATTTGTTAAACCAGAAGACATGGATGTACAAGAACTACAACTACGTATATTAGTTAAAAAACATCAAAAATGGTAAACTTAAACATTCATCAACCCTGTGAAACATAATAGCTGGAACATGATTTGAGTATCATTATATTTGAAGACATGGATGTACAGTAATGCATTACAAAATAAAGCCAACTGCCAAGAATTAAAAGAAAGGCCTCTAATACAATATGGCCAGAATTTACAAAAAAAAACATTGATATAATAAGGCCTTCAAATACATAATGGCCAGAATTTTCAAAAAAAGTCAGTCACATAATAATAAACCCTTCTTAGTTGGCTCATGCACTACTCCCAGGTCATATACAACAGCAGGTCATTTTCTTGAGGCAGACCTTGGTGGCCTAAAACCAGGTGTGCTCATGAAGGCCAATAATCTGCTTCGTGTGTCACTGGTTGCTGCATTCATTGTTTCATTACTCAACAACTCATTTGCCTGTTGTGGATTTGATGGAGGTGGGCTGCTTCCTCTCAAGTTGCCTTCATGTGGCTGAGAACTACTAACTGCTGCAGTCCAGTCAACTGTCATGCATTGCAATTATCAACAATCATTTACCTGGCTTCTTCTCTGATTTTTCTCTGTATTTAAATATAACAGTCATGCAATTATCTTTTATAGAAAAATAAATAGTATAATTGTAATGCTACACTACTGAAAATATTGTTCGTAAATTGCATGACGCTATCTCTTATATAGACTAAGAGAATTAAAGCAGTTCATAGTATTATAGGGATCGTAAAAGTTGTTTGCAAGAGTCAATAATCCCTTTTAACAAAGTGGGATGCTTAATTAGCATTGAAAAAGAAATGAATAATCGTTAATAAGGTCGAAACTTCAGTTAGAAACACAAATTTCATTGAAATAAAATGCCAAGAAGGAGTATTTTACTTTGTGATGAAATTTAGTTTAATTACTTTGTGATGAACAAATGGATTGCACTCCTGTTTATGATGTAATGCACTTCTGTTTTGCAAAATTGGACTGCATAGAAAAGCAATGAAGTCATGTGCTTATTTTTCTCTGGTTAGGGACCAATAAGAGCCTCGTGCTTTTTGTCAGGGACTAAAAACGTCCTCATGCATTTTGACAGGGACCAAAATGGCCCTCGTGGTTTTGACAGGGACCAAAACGTTGTCGTCTCGTCTTTCACGGTGTCCCACATCCAAGCCGCGTCAGCATGCCAACTGTGCACCGTTAGTTGGGCCGTTAGGTGAGAGTTAACGGAAGGATGAACGTGACCTCTTTTTTGTTATTTCAGAGACCAATTTATCTCTTTTTTATTGCTAGGAACTGAAAAAGGCTTCATAAATATTACCAAGGATTAAAAAAAATATTTACTCGTATTCTAAGAATAAGCCAAAGGCATGGCAACTGACAAGGAAATAAGAAAATGGGCGGGAAACAAGTAATGTAGAAGTGATTAAAGTATTTAAAATAAAAAGTGATTAAAATAAAAAAGTTAAAACAAAAAACGATGTGATTTTCCGAAATTTGACTGAGATTGACCAAACTTCCATTTTGTGTGTCATTTTGCATGACACATTCAGTGTCCTCGGAATCTGAAATATAACCATCAGAGAGTAACAGTCACTTCGCCCTTCCTCACACACGTGACCCTTCACTTCTCATTTCACAAACTCATCCTGCGTTATCGTTTACAACCCAATGTTTTACAATCGTCACATCATGAACCGTCCCTTTTGGACACAAGTCACGACTTGACCCACCCGCCACGGTCACGATGCTTAGTGTGAGAGTGAATCCTCTCGTATCTTATTTAATATGGTATAATTATTTTGAAAAATTATAATTATATAATAATGGATCAACAATAATAAGAAATATATTAAGATAAATAATTATAAAATTATTATTATTAATTTATTTTTATATAATTCTTATATAATTATTAATTAAAATATGAGGGGATCAATTTCCAAGCATATTTCCTCTCATATGAGTTGTCTCTCGTTGAAGACATTTTGAGTTCTTTGACAATACTATTCAAAGTCACATCAATTCTTCGTCGTTTATGAAATTAATATCATAGTCAGAATAATGTTTTGTTTTAGGTAATTATTGTTCTTTTTTTTTTTTTTTTTGTATGTAGGGTAATTATTGTTCTAACTAGCCAGGAAGTGGTAAGAACTAAGAACAACTTACAAATCACATCTAACAAGTTGAAGAAATGTTTCTATAATTTTAGCTTAGCTCCCCTACTTGATTCAGTCCCTTTTGCTTGATTACATATACACCGAATATTATGGATAATGTTATCAAAAAAAAAAAAATATATATTATGGATAAAAACTAATCTTAATACATTAATCATACATATTAGATTCGATGTGCTACTAACCTACTATAAACAATTTTAAACAGTATGCTTGTCGTAAATTATTATTCATGTCAAAAACGGCATTTTACCCAAATTTGATAAACGGAATTCGATAACCCCTTTGAACCAAGGCTAGTTTTAGATTATTATTATTATTATTTACAACAAACTGGTTCAAAATAAGAGATTTATTGTTCTTTCTATTTGTCATGACAATATTAATGATATATAGTGGAAGCAGCGTCCTTTCTGTTGAGCTGTATATTTGTCGAGAGTGTTTTATTTTCTGATATCATTGATTACACTATTGCATAATCATAAAAAATTTGTATTAAATAGAAATAATAACAAATTTTAAATTATTGTTTAAAAATTATTTTGTTTCCTTATTTACAGCTGATTAAAAGTTAATCTGTAACGGACTTAAAGTCTTATATAATTACTCCCCTATAGGAAAGGAAATACAATACAAGAAAAAATATTATAAGACGGCACCGTTGTATTGTATATTTGTATTGTATCGACACTTTCAACTTTCGTATTTTAACCAATATAAAATGAAATAATGATAGCATTAACAAAACTTTATAGAAGATAATAAAGTTTTCTTAAACCATCAAATCTCAGTGCCCTGTGAGTCTGTGACGAGACAGAGCAAAAAACCAGCCTTCGCTATGACGAAGAAGGAGAAACGAAGCCAAACCCAGTAATCAGTTGAGTTGAGCAGCACTCTGTTCTGCAAAACCAGACCCCACAATGCTTTCCATCCTCCTTATTCTGCTCCTTCTCAGATCAGCCACCGTTTTTGGTTTGAACCAAGAGGGTTTGTATCTGTACCAGTTCAAACTCTCACTGGACGATCCAGACTCTTCCCTCTCTTCATGGAACAACCGCGACCCCACCCCATGCAGCTGGACCGGAGTCACATGCGATCCCACCCACACCACCGTCACCGAACTAGACCTCTCCAACGCCAACCTCGCTGGCCCATTCTCTACTTCCATCCTCTGCCATCTCACCAACCTCACCTCTATCATCCTTTACAACAACGCCATCAACAACACTCTCTCTCTAGAAATCTCCCAATGCACCTCCCTCGTACACCTTGATCTCTCACAAAACCTCCTCACCGGTACACTCCCCCACACCCTATCCCACCTCTCCAACCTCCAATACCTCGACTTAACTGGCAATAATTTCTCCGGTCCCATTCCCGATTCCTTTGGCAGATTTCAGAATCTTAAGGTTCTCTCTCTTGTCTACAACCTTCTAGATCAAACTATACCAGCTTCTCTCGGCAACATCACCACCCTCAAAATGCTCAACCTCTCTTATAACCCTTTTCTCCCCCGTCCTATTCCACCGGAGCTCGGAAACCTCACAAACCTTGAAATCCTCTGGCTCAGCTCGTGTAATCTCGTTGGCGTTATCCCTCACTCGCTTGGGAATCTCAGAAAGCTCAGGGACTTGGACCTCGCATTGAACAACCTCTGCGGAGCCATTCCGAGTTCGCTGACTCAGATGACGAGTTTAAAACAGATTGAGTTGTATAACAACTCGTTGTCCGGTGAGTTGCCTCGGGGAATGTCGAACCTCACATCATTGAGGCTTGTTGACATGTCCATGAACCATCTCAGTGGAGCTATTCACGACGAGTTGTGCCGCTTGCCGCTGGAGAGTCTTAATCTCTACGAGAATCTTTTCGAAGGCGAGTTGCCGGCGAGTATAGCTGACTCGCCTAACCTCTATGAACTCAGGTTGTTCGGGAACAGACTCGCCGGCAAGTTGCCGGAAAATCTTGGGAAGAATGCTCCGTTGAGGTGGCTTGACGTTTCTAACAACCTGTTCTGGGGTCGAATTCCGGCGACTCTGTGCGACCGTGGCGCGTTGGAGGAGATTCTGATGATATACAACTCGTTCTCCGGGGAGATTCCGGCGAGTTTGGGCGCGTGCCGGAGCTTGACGCGTGTCAGGTTAGGTTTCAACCGGTTGTCCGGCGAAGTTCCGGCGGGTATGTGGAGGCTTCCCCATGTGTATTTGCTTGAACTTGTTGACAACTCGTTTTCAGGTTCAATCGCGAGTACCATTGGTGGGGCGGGGAATTTATCGTTGTTGATTGTGTCGAAGAACAATTTCTCGGGAGCAATCCCCGACGAGATTGGATGGTTGAAAAATCTTCAGGAATTTTCGGGTGGTGATAACAAATTCAATGGTTCGCTGCCTGAGAGTATTGGGAATCTTGGGCAGCTTGGGACTCTCGATCTCCATAACAATAAGCTCACTGGGGAGCTTCCCAAGGGGATTCAATCCTGGAAGAAACTCAACGAGTTGAATTTGGCTAATAATAATATTGGTGGGAAAATTCCTAATGAAATTGGGAGTTTATCGGTGCTTAATTTTCTTGATCTTTCCAATAACCAATTTTCCGGGAAAATCCCCCTGGGGTTGCAGAATTTGAAGCTCAATCAGCTCAATTTATCTTATAATCGGCTTTCTGGAGACCTTCCCCCTCTCTTGGCTAAGGATATGTACATGGCTAGTTTTCTGGGAAATCCCGGTTTATGTGGGGATGTGAAAGGTCTATGTGATGTCAAAGGTGAGAAAAAGAGTGCAGGTTTTGTTTGGTTGCTTCGAACTATTCTCGTAGTTGCCACTTTGGTGTTTGCCATCGGTGTGGTATGGTTCTACTTCAAGTATAGGAATTTGAAGAGTGCTAGAAGATCTATTGATAAATCGAAGTGGACATTGATGTCTTTTCATAAACTGGGTTTTGGTGAAGATGAGATCCTGAACTGCCTCGATGAAGATAATGTGGTAGGAAGTGGATCATCGGGGAAAGTCTACAAGGTTGTACTTAGCAGTGGGGAAGCTGTTGCAGTGAAGAAGATATGGGGAGGGATAAAAAAGGAAATAGAGAGTGGAGATATTGAAAAGGCTCGATTTCAAGACAATGCTTTTGATGCAGAGGTTGAAACTTTGGGCAAAATTAGGCACAAGAACATTGTCAAGCTATGGTGTTGCTGCACCACTAGGGACTGCAAACTATTAGTTTATGAGTATATGCCAAATGGTAGTCTTGGTGATTTGCTGCATAGCAGTAAAGGAGGGTTGTTGGATTGGCCAACTAGGTATAAGATAGTTGTTGATGCTGCAGAAGGCCTCTCTTATCTGCATCACGACTGTGTTCCCTCTATTGTTCATAGAGATGTGAAATCTAATAACATCTTGTTGGATGGGGACTTTGGTGCAAGGGTGGCAGATTTTGGAGTAGCTAAGGTAGTGGAATCCACCGGAAAAGTAACTAAATCCATGTCGGTCATAGCTGGTTCCTGTGGGTATATCGCACCAGGTTTGCAGAAAATTCATGTTATTTATTTCCAATTTTTCTTCAATTTTCAATCTTATTTTGATGAATCAGAGATACATCTAGTATTGTACTACTTGTGCTTAATTCATAATCACTGCTTTTGTTGGTTATTATAGATTAATTTGAGAAAAATTTAGAGCTTTTTGTTTAGAAGTTAGAACTTGGTCTGCCATTGTCTAATTATGTTTAAACAATCTGTAAAGGATAAATTATACCAATGTTGTTCGTAACAAATGGTTTCTTTTCCTTGACGTTGTAGCTCTTCTTGCTAGCACCTTTTGATTCTCTTTTGCAATAATTATTAGCTTACACGTCTAATAATACATACTCTGAGGAGCCAAACTGATATGATTCCCTTCTACAGAATATGCATACACGCTTAGAGTGAATGAGAAGAGCGACATCTATAGTTTTGGTGTTGTCATACTTGAGTTGGTTACTGGAAAGCGGCCTATAGACCCTGAATTTGGGGATAAAGACTTGGTTATGTGGACGTGCACCACCTTGGATCAGAAAGGCGTGGACCATGTGCTTGACTCCAGGCTTGATTCTTGTTTCAAAGAAGAAATTTGCAAGGTTCTTAACATTGGTCTCATGTGCACTAGTCCTCTTCCAATCAACCGGCCTGCAATGAGAAGAGTCGTGAAAATGTTACAAGAGGTGGGCACAGAGAACCAAACAAAGCCTGCCAAGAAAGATGGAAAGTTGTCCCCTTATTACTATGATGATGGGTCAGATCATGGAAGTGTTGCTTAATTCAAGTTCTTGCACGGGTTGGAATGTTTGAATCTGAACAGGGGGAGGGGGCAGTTCTAAGATTTTCTTTTACTCAGAGTCAACTTCCCTCCATGTTTTCCACTCATGGTTTGCTTTACAAAAGTTGGCTACAGAAAGGGGTAGGGAATTTTTAATACCTCTTATATTCAGAAATGATATTCTAACTGTTAAAAAGGTTGTGACCCGTATCTGGCATCGGTCAGATGATTTTCCGAGTTGTAAAATCAGTGGCTTCTAAATTCCAATATAAAATTATCGTTGTGGTAATTTAATTTCAGTTAAATCACTTAATAGAAAGTTTTCCCGAGATTGGGAATCTATATCTTAGTCATGCTTACAATCTTCGTGATGTTCCAGCTTACATGCTTTGACTGTTTTCGGCATGAAAATCTACACTCACAGTGCTCTGAGATATGTGCTGGGTACAGCTATAACAATTGAGTTAATAAGGTAGTTAGGCAGGCTTTGTCCTCCCTTCATGGGTCCCCCTCGTTTAATTGCAGGTTCCATCCATTTGTGTTGCCCACTAGTACTACTACTGTCTCTCTGATCAATGATGATGGGGAATAAGGATACTTTTGTAAAATAATTAGGGTAATACGATATTGATCATTTTGGCTTTTTGCTGAATTCAACTGTGGAATTTTGTCAATTCTTGGCTAGTTCTAATTCTGGCTAGTGGTTATTTTTATGACAACCATTCCATCGGGTAAAGAAATATAATGAAATTATTGTAAGATTGATGAAAGATTTTACTTTTGAACTACATTTTAATTTAAGTTGTTTGCACAAATTTATTGCGCTTAACCAACAATGGAATATGACACTGTTATTGCTGGTTTTGTGCAATTGTTTTGTTTGATGGCTTCACCCTTACTGCTTTCTAGTTGCTGCCAAATGCATGACAATTCACACAACTGTTTTTATGGCACTTTTCGTTTAATGGCTCCTCAAATTTACCAGTAGCACTGCTTTATGTATGGAATATAAAAGAAGTGCAGGCAATGAATGAATGCTAAATGCCAAGTCAATTCATGGGTCATAAATGGTTCACCATTCCGTGACTTGGTGGCTCAGTCGGATTAAAATTAGTAAAATTAACACCAATTGAATAAGGTTTTGTGAAATTTAATTTACAATACTACCATTAAATTATTTAACATTATTGCAAAGACCGTATATATATTCATTCAGTTCAAGATAAACTAAACATATATAACTATATAATCCTAAAGATAACATTTATTTATGTATTTAGTTGCGACTTTCACAATACAGCATAGAACTATAGAAAACAATGTCCGAACAAAAAATTCTCGATGTAATGGAAGAGATAATTGGTTGTTAAAGCAAAACAACAGTACCTCCTTTGAATATGTGGAAATAACATGAAGAAGCATAAAATATTGTCAATGATACTTTTCTCCAAAGAGGCAGACTCTGCTTCAAGAAGCAAGATATGAAACATACAAATTATATATGTTAAAGCGTATTTGTAACCAAGCACGTATTACATAAAAAATTCCTTTCAAAACCTAATGACTACAACGAACAAAAACAATTTGTTGTACGAGGCTCAAACTGAAAGGAGATACAAAAATACAAAGCTTTTTCTCTGCTACAAAAAAAGATGGACATTATAGCAGCCTTCATGAGAGACAATTAAGTCTTGCAAATGTCAAATAGCCCGTGTGACCTCGAGCTTCACCACAAGGTCTAGCCATGACAGAAGAAATAGGACTGCTGAGTACATTGCTTCCATCCGAACACTGCCTCCTCTTGCAAGGAAGAGAACCATTAGAACCATTGCCATCCTCATTAAAGCTTTCCATTTTCCCTTCCCGAACTTCATATGTGCGTAAGAGTACCTCAAATGTCCTTATATCTTTTACATAAGCAAAAATTCACAAAGGAGTTCAGTCAGTAATACAAGTTACTTCAAGTTGCACAGATAACTTGAAAGAGAAAGAAATGGCACACAAAGATCATGAAAATTTGAAAATATAGTTTAGAACAGAAAGAGGGAAAGCACAAAAGTACCTGTGAAGCAGGTTCGAAGTGTTTCACATGATCGTTGTACTTGTTCAACACATGGAGAGAACGAGCATAATGTGCCATCTTGTTTTAACATTTTTGCAGCTGATGGAATGGCAAGCCAAGGTTGAGGCAGATCCAAGAATACAGAGTCTGCCAAGCCCATAAATTCATCAGGAAATCCCTCACCCTGGATGTCCCTAACTCCCACACTGATTAAGCTGGTTAGGCCTGTCCTCTCAAAATCATCCCTACAAAGATGAAAAAATCAAGTGAATATATGATATAGGAATGATTCAACATTCAGCATAACCCATGCAAAAAAAAAAAGTGATGCACAGTGTGCAATTATTAACATGTTTCCAAATCCTTTTTTCTTTCATAAATCCAAGAAAGCTAAATCCTGTTTGGTGAGCCCTTACCCAAGAAACTAGCAAAGTACTAGTAAATCAACCAGTACAGAACAAAGAACTGACAATTTGAATATTGAAATATTTGTTCACCAAATATAGAGATTACAATTTCATAGCATAAAACTGCAATGCAAAGCTAATAACCAAGATTTAAGAGATCCACTGTCAGTGAAAACTGTAAAGTTCTTTACACTATCATCTAATGATGTGTTAGAACATCATTTGAAGAGTTGGACTTCCTCCACAATGATTGTGATAGTCAAACTTCTTTTATGATTTGGCAATACATGATTGGATGACAGAGCAAAGAAGTTCTACATTAACAATGTATCAAAAATGAATCCATAAAAATAAACCAGAAGACACAACACAAGTGAAAGCTACATATATATAAACAAAACATCATATTATGTCAAATATAATATCTAAAGGGAGAACCTCAATATCATCTCCCTGGTTTGTTACCTAGCTGATCCAGCCCTTTGTTCATGGAAATCAAATGTATAGACATGCCCAGTCGGAGCAACAGCCCTTGCAAGTGAAGTAGTTAAAGATCCACTTCCAGTTCCAGATTCAAGAATCAAGCAACCAGGAACAATCTCCAAGTACATGATAATAAAGCTAATATCCGCAATATAGAGAATCTGAGTCCTGTGGCTTAATACTAGAGTCCATAATTCTGGTGTGGGAGCTAACAAGTATATAAAACCACCCTTACTACTGAATACTTTAGACCCAAACGGCTTCCCTATCCAGTCTGAATGTTTAAAAACACCAAAACGATTCTGCAGGACTGAACCCTCAGACACCGTTACAGCCTTCATGCTGTCATGCCTTTCATAAACAATAACCAGATCACCATTACTGATTGATCGTTTAAATGAAATCCTTTTTGCAGGACAACTGGCCAACATCTCAGAAGTCTTCAAATCTTTCACCCCAGTTTAAAAGAACAATTATCTGCAAGCCAAAAAAGGGAGAAAAGAAACCAATGACATATATGAAGTGTGTTGTTGAAGTATAGTCTTCAAGTCAAAATTCAAGAAAACATTAACTACATACACTTCTGCATTCCATTCAGTCCTAAAACACATACAGAAAATTTCAGCATAAAGCTGATGAAAGTAAAACAGAATGATGAAAACTTGACATAACCTGATTCCCTGAATTAACAAGGTTAGCATTAATTTTAAGAACTTTTCTTGGTTTCACGCTATGACCACACTATAATATGTTTCTAGCACAAAATCACTAATTTTCTTTTAAACAGACCTTTAACACCTAGCAGGTTAGAATAGAAGAAGAAAAACCAGAAAAAGTCACAAAACATACAAACATTCTTGGAAATCTAGCAACCAAAGAAAGGACGTGAATTATTGAAGGGTTAAACCAACCAGCAGTTATTTGAGTTGAGCAAGTTTTGATCTTCACTCGTCAAGTTGAAAACTTGCATGCGCTAATTAGTAGCTTAACAAGTTGAGGAAATTGGGTACGCCTCCGATCAGAGTTTCGAAGCTTACACAGTGTTCATGGACCAACAACGGCACTGACCTGAACCCTAATAAAAAGATTACAGAACAATGGGCTTTAAACGAATTATCATGTGCTATGGTTATTTTTAAATTTAACTGATATATAAAAATATAAATTAAAATAATATTTAAATTGATAATAGAGGAATTAGAGATACACATAATTAATTTAAATAAATATAAAAATTATTTAAAATTATAAACAATACAATTACACGTAATTAATCAAAAGAATTTCAACTAAAATTTAAATATTAATTCAATGATTATATTTTTTTTTATTTTTTATAGTTATGATCGAAGTTCCACCAAATTCAACAATCAAATCAAATCCGTTGTCGTCTGATCACAAAAATAACAAGCGGAAGAAGCATGAATTTTTTATTATATCTTATACTATTAATTGATGGGCCTTCTCAGAGCTAGGAGCCAAGTCCCCAGAATGACCGTGAACAGTCCAAGGGCCCAAATGTGGGCTCATACTAATTTCTCATGCATTTTTGTAGTCATTCCTTATTCCAGCGCATTGCATGTTGTGATTTGTGAATGTCATTTGCAGATGTTCTCTGTTCAATTCCATCAATTCAAAACGATAACAAAAGAGCATTTAGAAAAGGGAATCCACTTATTGTTGTTATTGTTATTATTAGTTTCAATGATGCATGAGTCGAGTCCTCATATTGTTATTGTTTCTAGTTTCAATTATTGAATTCAAAAGAGAGTTAGGATGTTCCTCATTGTCTATTTAGTATTTAAATTTTTTACCAAATACTTTTAATTTAAAAATTCTCAATTAAATATCAGAAAATAAAAATATCAATTTAAAGTTGATTCTAATAAAAAAATTAATCAAGGAAAGTTTAAGAAATTATAACTAAAAACAATTAATGAAAATATGAACATGCAACTATAATTTAGAAACATTAATAGTTGCCTGTTCATAAGATCTCTTCAAAGAATATGTATGTGGTAAAGTTGTCTCTAATTAGACAAAGGTTTTGGATTTACATCTACCGACTCTTCCTGCTTTCAAGCCCAATAATGAAGTCTATACACAAAATGTCATAAATAATATGCGCTCCAAGACAAAATTAAAAAAAAAAAAAAAAAAGGAGGAGAAAGAAATTTATGGGTAATCTGCAATTTTTGGCAGAATAGTCTAATCTAAAAGTACTGCATAATCTAGTACGATGGAGTGTCCCACCAACTTTACAGACACAGACACACACACACACACACACACTAAGAATTTGTTAGCTAAAAGAATATTAGGCTGTTGTAACCAAATGCTTTGCACCTGATGAATTCAGAACATTTAGATTAGTATATATATCTATAATTTAAATTACGATCATGCTCTCATCCCACTTCATGACAAACGAGTAAATTATGGATTGGATGCACCAAACAAAAAATAAGAACAGATCAATGACTCAATTATTATTTAATAAACCAAGGCTTCCTCGGATTACTTTAAATTGCAGAATCTCCGGAACCAAAATATTACAGGAGTCTCCATTTAAGACTCTATATACATATGAATACATATATTTTTAATGTGAATGTGATACATAAAAGCATTGGTCATGTGTCAAACTACAAATGGATATTCGAAGTCTTCAGTACAGCATGTCATTTTGACACATACTCGTATAAAAACATTGGCTGGGGTGCCAACGACGAACCACCACAACTAAATCTCACCAATCCACCCCTTTTTGTCAAACATAAGCCCTCTTTTTTCTCAGCTTATCTTCCAACTGTTTGATACCTCACCAACTGAGTCGCAAGTATTTAAGCTAGTTTCCACATATCTCTTCGAAATATACCATCCAATCCTACCGTTTTCCCACCTGCTTCCTTTTCCTCTATTCCCATCTTGACCACCAATTAACCCGTATCTAGCAAAAGCTAACTGTGTTTGAACAAAGCCAAAGTGAAAATATCACAATTAAAAATGAACCAAGCCGAAAATATTGCTTATGATTTGGTCATGGTCACTCTATCCATATCTCTCATCGTTCTCGGTGTTATACTCTTTCTTGCTTGCAAGAAGAAACCGGTTAAGTCAGAGGAAACACTTCCTGTAAAGCTTTGTGCTCGTGCATACCCGTTGATGGAAATTGATGCTGCTACTGATGGCTTCAATCATAGGAGAATCGTTGGTCAGGGTCGCTTAGGAACTGTGTATGCAGGGACACTTGAGCAAGTAGAACTTGTAGCTGTCAAGCGGATTCATCCAGTTCTTGTGTTGAGCAATGCAGGATTTGGGTTCTCATCCGTGTTAAAATGGCTCTCTTTAGCTCATCACCCAAACGTAGTTCCAATTATAGGATTCTCAGAAGCACCGGGTGAAAGAGTTATACTAATGGAGTTTGTGCGCATGGCAAGCCTACAATTTTACTTGCATCAAAACCCAGATGGGGTTTCACTTTTGGATTGGAACAAGAGGTTCAGGATTGCAGCTGGAGTAGCTAGAGGGCTTCAATACCTGCATGAAGTGGTAGCACCAAACATTGTACATGGGTGTGTTAAGTCCTCTAATATTCTTATTGATGTCAACTTCTGTGCTAGGATTTCTGATTATGGCCTTAACTTTTTGGCACCATTAGAAAAAAGAGGGCTAGTAGGTTATGTAGATGATGAGTATTGGAATGAAAGAGGGGGTGGAGCTACCAAGGAAAGTGATATCTATGGGTTAGGGGTGGTCCTATTGGAGCTTTTAAGTGGAAGAGGATGTGAGGGAGGGTTGTTGTCAAAGTGGGCATTGCCTTTGATAAAGGAAATGAGTTATAGTGAACTTTTGGATCCTAGGCTTGTGATTCCTTCTGACATGAAGCCTCTGATTAGATTAGCCAAAGTTGCTTCAGCTTGTGTTGGTAATTCAAGGAAATGTAGGCCTTGTGTGGCTCAAGTAGTAACCATTTTGAACAACTTAGAGACGCAAGTGTGCCTCTGATCCGTTGGGTTACCCCATATGATGTAGTCAAAATTAATGTTGCAATTGCCTCCAATTTTGTACAAAATGGATGTAGACCGATTGCTAAGAAATGGAAAAAAGATGGCACGGATCTCTGGTCTGAAAAAACTCTAGTCTTGTCATATGATAAGTACCAACATTGATAAAAGGGAAGAGGGATGAAGTGCAATAAATTCGGTTAGTTAGTTTGAGATTCATAGGATGCCGGTGATTGGTACGAAAATTGTAAGAATTTCATGAAGGTGGGGCCTTATCCCTAACTTGTGACAGGTTGAAAAGCTAGAGAATCATTTGATGGGGAATGTTGAAATAAGAAGGTCGGAAGGTGCCGTTGTCCTTACTTAGGACGGTGAATATTAAATCTCTTGTTCCGTGTGGCGTAAGGAGTACTTCTGGTGATGAAAGGGACCTCTCTCGCTCTCCACTCTTAATTTCCATCAGCTTCTAATGTGTGATATATAAATTTATTTTCTGGCTTGTAATTATGTAATCATACAAAATTTCAGATTTTAAGACCCCAATGACAATATCATTTTATTTTAAAAATGTTAAACTAGTTCAATATCCATATCTAATTTTATCTTTTCTCGCAGCATTTACATAATTTCAAGTATTAGAATAACTTTATAATTGTTAATTACAAATTTATTGAAAGCGAATGTTATTAATATATTTGTCATCTTGTTTGCTTTCGAATACTTTTTTTATCCTGAACTATTAATAATTGATCATTTTTTTAGTTTTATAAAACGTCTTAATGATTTATTTATATAAAAGATGAATTATATTAAAAGTCATTTATTTATTTTCGAAGCTATTACATTTTATTTGCTTAGTTGTGTTATACAACTATTAACATAAAACAAATCTTTAGTAGTCTCGATAAGACAGTTTATTAGGATTAAAATACAATATATTTTTATATATACATGCTAAATTTTTATTCATTCTTAAATGTTAAGAATTACCCATAATTAGACACCGAGAGTAATATATCGATAAAGGAAAAAGCGTGTATTTTTTTAAATGATATAAATTTAAGTCCTTTTAAGAGAAATATAGATATAAAGTGGTGAGATCTACATCTTTATTTTTTTTAGTGAGATCCACATCTCTTTATATCTATCTCTCTTTTAAAAAGACTTAGATTTGTGTCATTTAAAAAGACACACATTTTCCCATAAATAAATATATGATCCAATAGAAGAGTTTGAAAGGGAAAGGTCTTGGAAGAATACAATGCTGCGAGCGACTCCTCAAATTTAATGGCATAAATAGAACATGAATCATACTAAATAATGATAGCTCAGTTGACACAAGAAAACTGAACAGGTGAGGATGATAGTATTCGATCCTTTCCAGTATCATCTTTAGGAGGAGTTTAAATTCTTGATCTCGAAATTTGCCCCAATCAAATTTGTTGCGAAACAACAAACCGATGGAACTATCTTATAATATATTATATATATGGGGTAGGATTTTCTAATAACCAACTAGGGTTACTAGCAATGATACTACCCGTCAATCTCGCCGTTAGATTGGTTATCTCATCCTACGGTCCTGATTTAATGCTTAAATAGTCCTCTTTCCCCTTCTCTCTCTACCCTTCTCTCTCACTATACTCTCTACCCATCTCCGTTGCAGCTGCCCATCACCGTGGTCGAGCCACCGCACTCTTCCCCCCGCCGCCACTCGCACTCTACCGCCGCCGTTAGAGTTTTGCTAATGCTAATATTGGACTTCCTTAAAACAAGCATAATAGGTTCTTACGGAAAGAGCATCAGACTGTATGATTGATGTTTGTTCTTCCGCTTTCAGATTCTCTTTTTTTCTCAAATCTCTCTCAGATGTAATCAACAACCAAGACACAAAAAAGATATATATATAAAAAAAAAACTTTTGCTTAAAGCGAGCAGATTCAATGGTTATCTTTTGAGATTGGGTGAGTTATCCAATTAAATTTTCTTAATTTTCCCGACAAACAAAAAGCAGATTCAATGGTTATCCTTTGAGATTAGGTGAGCAGATTGTATGATTAATGGTCGTTCATAGTCGTTTAAGGGGATAAAATAGAACTAGAGTGTGGTGTCTCGACGGCGGTGATGGGCATTGGAGGCGGAGATGGGTAGAGAGTATAGTGAGAGAAGGGAAAAGAGGGATATTTATGCATTAAATCAGGACCGTATGATGAGATAACCAATCTAACGACGAGATTGACTGATAGTAACGATAGTAATCCTAGTTGGTTGTTACAATATTCTACCCCTATATATATATATATATATATATATATATATATATATATAGAGAGAGAGAGAGAAAAATGTTTCTGCAGTTACTGCAGATAATTATCTGCATTTATTCCCAACACGACGTCGTTTTGGTATTGAAATCTTAAAAGATTATAAATATAAAGACTTTTATAACCCTAAAATAAATTAAAATTACCATGATTTCCGTCCCAAAATGACGTCGTATTGAGCTTACTGCAGATAACTTATCTGCATTAACTGCAGAAAAAGCGAACCCATATATATATATATATATATATATGTTTCTGCAGTTACTGCAGATAATTATCTGCATTTATTCCCAAAACGACGTCGTTTTGGTACTGAAATCTTAAAATGTTATAAATATGAAGACTTTTATAATCCTGATAAATTAAAATTACAAAATTACCATGATTTCCGTCCCAAAACGACGTCGTATTGGGCTTACTGCAGATAAGTTATCTGCAGTAACTGCAGAAAAAGCCAACCCATATATATATATATATATATATATATATATATATATATATATATATATATATAGGGGCAGGATATTCTTACACCGGTGTAAGAGTTACAAGTCTTACACTCAATCTTGACCATTGATCCACTTGTATTTAATGGCTCACATTACTAAAAAATTTGAGCCCTTAGATATAAGTGGGATCAGCGGACAAGATTGAGAGTGTAACTTACACTGGTGTAAAATGATCCTCACCCATATATATCATGAAGCACTAGTTTTTCAGATATACAAGAGTGGGCCTTTTATAAATTGGGTTATTTTGGATGCAGAGCAAAACAATGTCCTTTATACGCATATCATACAGATTCAGCCCAGATGCGAAATTATGCAGTTTTCTTCAATATATTTTTAAATTATTATTTAATATTTTTATTTGCTAAATTTAATTTAGTAATATTAATTATAATATGTTTTGAGAATTTTCAAAATTCACGGCTAAAACCAATGTTCCATAGGACTATGAGCCCTCCAAAGTTTTTAAAAGTAATTATTTTATAACTAATCTTTTTTCGAATTTTTTTAACTTCCTCTCTCAATTGTTTTTATTTTTTATTGGGTACCCATATGTAAATGAACTCTGCCCCTGTCGAAAGCTGAATTCAATCCGAAAAATTAGAGAAAAACCAGACTTGTTATATAATTGAAATAAATTGTGAAGATTTTTTTTTCCGAATTTTTTTTGTGAAGATTTAAAATATTATCCAGTTGTTGTTACAAAATAAATTGTTAATAATTAATCGCTTTGACTTAAATTGAGCGAAACTGGATGGCTAATTAACAAGAAGAAGAAAAAGACTCTCCCGTGATGAGGCCATTGCGCTTCTTATCCTTATGCGTTATGGAGCTTGTGTACTGTTTGGGCCTTTTCTGGGCCTTAACCCTGTTGGGTCTATGTAATTATCCAGATCACAAGGAATTTTGTGTAATACAAAAAATGATATATTTGTTTAAGATTTTATAGATAATTAATGAATTGTTGGAAGTTCATAGATATGTACCATGGAGGGTGAAATATGTTAATTTAGGGATACTTTCAGCAGCCATGGTATGGACCAAAGCTCTGTTGAAGCTTCTCATGCATGGTGCATAAAGGGGGAGTGTGTGTGGGTGGCTAGGGTGACTCACATTGCTGCAGAATAATAACTCTTCTGATGTCCCGATCCGAAGATCCCCTTCAATATGTGAGGGGGACAATTAGAGAGAGGATGTCTCTGTAAAGCATATGAGAGAAGATGTAGCTGTCATGTCATCTAGCCTTTTCAAGCTAAGTCTGCTGAACCCATTGTCTGTATACAAGGGCGGATGAGCCTTTTTTGCTGGCCATAGGTATCCTGTAGAAGATTCTAGTTATGAGCTTAATAATATAAGGCCCAACTTGCTGGGCCTAAAGTGAATGGCCAGAACATTTAGGAAGCTCGTATTGGTAGAAGATTCTAGTTATGAGCTTAATAATATAAGGCCCAACTTGCTGGGCCTAAAGTGGATAGCCAGAACATTTACGAATCTCGTATTGGTTTGACCTTTTGTAATTGGGATTTGTAGACTTTGTAGACTTTGTAGATATTTCTATAATTGGAATGGGTTTAGTGTGTGTCATTCAAAAGGACACAAGTTGTGTCTTTTTAGTGATTTACACAGAGTACGACCGATCGTACTCTGCGTAATTCTGAAAAGTTATTTTTTTCACTTTACACGTCAGCGATGTGACTGGGGAGAGAAAAAAAAAACTTTTCAGTTTTACACAAAGTACGACCGGCCGTACTTTCTGTAAAACACCTAAAATAACACAAGCTTGTGTCATTCAAAATGATACTTCTTTTTCCCAATTGGAATTGTTGAAAATAATTTTATGTCCCGAGAAACATGATTTCCGCACAAAGTTTTAGAATGTTAAAAATATGGGGGAAAAAGTCGTAGATCCACACTAAGAAATTGTGCATACAATTATCCACGGTCTTTTTGAATTTGTTGGCTATACCAACGACCACACGGTGCAATTCCCCTCCCCCCCCTTTCTCTCTTTCTCCTTTTCTTAACTTGAAAACGACCCTAACTCAATGAAAGTGAATTTCTTGTTACTACACATGCTAAAGGTCTTAAAACTTTGACTTATTAACAGGTTGTAGATTTTATCTTCTACTTAGAAAAGGACGACCCTAACTCAATGAAAGTGAATTTCTTGTTACTACACATGCTAAAGGTCTTCAAACTTTGACTTATTAACAGGTTGTAGATTTTATCTTCTACTTAGAAAAGGAATTTGCATGATAATGGATTGCCAAAGTGTGGGCTTATGACGCTGTTACGTGTGATATACAACCGTTGCTTGGGTATAAGACTATGTTCTTTTGAGAAACCTACCAATCGTTATTTAGGTAAATTATGGTTTTTTAGAGCTATTTAAATTGAGTTTTATTAGTCTCATTTAACATAAGATAGTTATCTTATGTTGTAAAGAGAAAATAGGTGGGTCCCACCATTACAAAAAAAAAGAAAAAGAAAAAGAAAAAAGTGGAGTACGGATATCGAAGTTAGAGAAAATGAGAGATGATATCTCATGTGAAAGGTGAGTAATATTTTCCATTTAAATTATACCGTCCTTTTTTTATTTTAAAACTTTTATTTTTATTTCTTCTTTTGAGATATCATTACGTGTTACACTTTAATTTGTAATTTTAATGTGAAAAGGTCTTTTAAATGTTTTTTTTTCTCCTCTTTCTATGACCGTCAGTATCACTGGCAATTCATTTTGAATTCCTATTATACTTTTCAAAAATAAAAATAAATATAAAAGACTTTACATCTGAAAACTAAGAAAGCTTAAAAAAGGAAAAGTAAACCCAGTATAACGTGAGCTAATTGGAAGCGAAATTTTGCTTAAAAAGTTGTTTGTGATATTGAAAAATGAAAATTACAACTCACAAGGAATAAATAAATGAATACACTCACATTTGTGATAAAAGACACAAAATTTTAAAACTTTCTGTTAACTCTTCCCTATTTCTATACAAAAATTTTCTTAGGGCTTTTCGTTTATTAATTTTCCAAACGTTTCCTTGGTTTCTAAGAATTGAACCTAGTTAAGTAACAAAAAGGTTGTAATTAATTATCTGTTAAAAAATGTAAATATATTATTAAAAATCTAAGATAACATGAACACTTACTAAATAACCATGATTTATAATATATATGATTATCACATTTTATGAGTAATTTTTGTCATAAATATCATTTTAAAAATTTAAAATAGCTATAGATATTCGCATGCCAAACTAAAATTTAATGTACGATTACACATCAAACAACAACTAATTGTCTCACGAGCGGGCCATTTTTCCCCCCTATTATTTTGAAATCATATTGTGGTAAAAAAATAAATAAAAATGAAACAGTGATAAAATATCTAACGATTTTTTTATTTTAAAGTAGATGCTTATGTATGTCATTGAGGAGGATATTTTATGTAACCATTTTTTTTCATTGGTGGGAATGATCTGTAATGTTTGGATAAACTTATTACATTTTGGCGCGTCTGGTAGTTGATATTTTTGAGGATTTATGAAAACTGAATTTTTTTTAATTTTTAATTTTTGAATATTATCGTAAACGGAATATTTTTATTATATTTTTTAAAATTAAGATTTTTAGATAAAAAAAAAAATTTCCTCTACCAAACATCTCAAAGTTTTAAATACAAGTTGATACATTTATGGGAAAAAAGTATCCTTTTGAATGACACAAGCTCGTGTCATTTTAGTGTTTTACACAAAGTACGACGAGTAGTACTTTGTGTGAAATTGAAAAATTGTTTTTTTTTCCAGTCACATCGCTGACGTGTAAAGTGAAAAAAAAAAGTAACTTTTCAGAATTACAAAAAATACAACCGATCATACTTTGTGTAAATCACTAAAAGACACAACTTGTATCTTTTTTAACAACACACTCTAGACCCTACATTTATTGTATTGTTATGTACATTTCCCTGTCAAGTTGTATGTTTACTAATTTCTTCTTCATGTTCAGGCTTTTTCCTTCCCTCTTTCTACAAACCAATCATATCCGCAGACTGCAGCAAGGTAATGGACAATTTTGGAGACCTCAAAAATTCAGAGCTATTCATCATTCCCTTTGAACGTATACGGTATACTATTACCAGGAAAACAACCTCGTCCAAAAAAAAATAAAAAATAAAAAAATAGAAGCTTAATGCCTAAGCTTCTAGTTGCGTGGCTTCTTTGAGAAGCACACAAAGATGTGTCGGCGGCTGTCGCGTCAAAAATTCATAATTAACAAAGCGTTATGCTCGTCTGCGGTCGTGTCTTTTCTGCTTTTATACTTCAATGCACATTGACAAAAACATCCCTCCATCGTGACATGTCACTTGTTGATCCTAGCAACACCGAAACGTCGACGACTTTGGCAGCAAGTCGTTGTGTACAAGCATCATAGCATAATCTCTTTTCTAATGGAAAATAAATGGACCGACAGAAACACGTTGAAAGTCATAATTGAGCAAATCAATCAAGGGCACCCGATTCTAGTCAATTAGGGTTACATGTCTCCACAAATGGTAATAAAAGGTAACACTATGGGAGCGCCAAAATAAAATCAATCCTATAACGTAACATATTTTTGCAAGAAAATTTACATACATTTTGGTTCAACCCAGCAAACAATGTAACTAAAAATTTAAGTTGGCAGGTGAATTTTTTATTATTATTTTATATCACATTATTTTCTATCACGCCAAACGTCTTATATGATTGAAGTTATTATAAGCGAGACTGCTACAAAATATCACAAAAAGTATTATTTAATTCACCCAAAAAAATAAATAAACAAATCAATCGTATTTGTTATTAAATACCGATTCACAATTATTTGAATATATTATTCTTATCGTTCCCAAGTTGAGGCATAAAGATATTTTTATGCTTAACTTGACCGAAAGAATTGCAAAGGGATAAATGCCATAGTTGCATCAAACGATTCATATATTTCTCTGAGATCGTCCCAAAGTTCTTTTTGCTATTTAAAAAGTTGATGATATATGGTATTGTGAATCCAACCATTGATAATTGAATTACAAACCATCCAAATATATCCCTAATCAGAATTGTCTTCCTCTGGCTTGGTAGTGGATTCGGTGATGACTGATGAACTATAGTTTATTTTTTACAAACCATGCAACATTATATTTGTCAACATGATTTCATGGTTGTAGGATGGGACGACATAAAATGGTGATATAGGATCTCTCAACTTAAGATTCTTTCGGTCACTGCCTTCTTTTGTCATTGTGAGAACCGTAAGAGAAAGGGAGGACCCAAGTTTCGCACAATTTGACATGACCAAGTTTTTTCGGATGAACGCTATGATAATATAATAGAAATGGAAAATTTTATGATGATTTCACTATTCACATTGTGATTACATATAAGATTGATCTATACATTGTATTTCTAAGATTAGTTTAGATAAGATAGTGAATATAATATCCTTATAAGAAGTGTTTATATGTGTGAAGGACAATTTGTTCGAAATCGATAATCACACAAAATCGAAAAAATAGAAAAAGAGATAAGAGTAGAGAGATTGACACGATGATTTACCCTGGTTCACCCAATTAAAGCTACGTTCAGCTTGTCTGTACTATGTTCTCCTCACCGCCACTCGTTACAAGTCACTCAGTTTACAAGAAAAATATAAATAGGATTAGAAAACCTTAACAACACCTATTCATGGGCCAAAGCCCAAACTGCTAAGAAAATTACAATAAAATAGAGGCCCATAATAGTACTTAGCCTCTACGGGCCGGGGGCACTGCGCCCCGACCTCTGCCGGGACGGCTCCCCCAGATCCCCGCCCGTTCACTTGGGAGCAGAACCCCAGTTGCCTTTCTGCTAACCCTGATAATTAGGACCTTATCAGCATGCGAAGTATGAGTCATACCCAACACAATTAAAAGGAGAGTGAGAGAAATTCGCTACTTTAAATATATAGTAGTGTACGTGAAGAAAGTGATTAATGGGAATATACAGCGCCTTTTTTTGGTTGGTGAAAAATATACTCAAATCATTAACGTATAATTCCTTATGTTACATTCTTTATCGGTTCTTATGTACATGTCCGATAATTATGAAATTTTACATAGCTTTGAGGGCACTCAAATTTGACACTGCAGCTGATGAACTCTCGACTCTCGAGTCTCAACACACCCAAAATTTCTCTCTCTCTCTCTCTCTCTCTCTCTCTCTCTAAACTGTTGAAACGTCGTAAGAAGAATCGGGTTGCCCCATCTCTACTCTTGCCACCATCTTTTCTTTCTTTTTATTTTTTTTAACTCGGGGCATTTATGATCGGGGGCGATTCTACATACTAAGTTATTATTAATATTATGTGATTACTTATCGTTTGATCAATTTGAAATTAACGATTAAAAAATAAAATAAAAAATTAACTATTCTTGATTTTAAATTGATCCAACTATAACCAATCAAGTAATAAGAATAGTAAAGTTAAAATTGTAATCTTCCTCTTATGATTATGATAAAGTTTTCTTTTTTTAGTAAGGTTTTAATCTTTCATATATAATAACGATACCCTTTTAATTTTTTAATTGGCTCAAGTGCAATTAATTAATTTTAATCCCTACACAAAAAGAAAAGTCTCCCTAGCTTGGCCGCATTTATACCTTGGCAAGAGCGTATATACGGAAACAGAGCCAAACTTGACGTCCAAGCAACCTTTCCTATATATCTAGAGCCCCACTTTTATTTCCCACCTTCCTTTCATCGGCTATTGTAACCTCTCTCTCTCTCTCTCTATGAGCAAGAGCTAGCAACTTGGGAAATCAGGCAGTTCAATCATTTTGATCATATAATTTACATAGAGAACATATACTGAAGAAGAAAAAGTGGAAACCCGTTTGGATTAAATTCTCTCCCTTCAGCAACAACAAGAAGGTGATTCAGGATAAACGTGTCCCAAAAGTTACAAGCTCCTAGCTTTACCTTTCGTCATCCTTTTTCATCTCTATTTTTTCAAGCTTTTATTAGGGAGAGCTGTTATTGTAGGAGGGATTGGAAGAAAAAGGTTCTGTTTTGTGATATATGTGCATAAGAAATTAAGATAGAAAGATGACATGGTGCAATGACTCTGATGAGGAGAAGGGCATTGAATCAGTCAGGCCCACTATTACTCCTAGAACTACTAATAACACCGAAGAAATTCGAACCATAACATGCCCCTCATGCGGCCATAACATTGAATTCAAAGATCAGGTACTAATTATAGTAAAGGTTTTTGATTCCCTCACCTATATATATAGATATATATGTTTGTGCTTTTATCTTTTTCAAAAGTTTCCCTCTGTTTATGCGCCAACCTTTAGTTATTTTAATTTTTCTGTTTGTGATGAAATGACAGGGTGGAATTCATGACTTGCCGGGGTTACCAGCAGGAGTGAAATTTGATCCGAATGATCAAGAAATACTAGAACATTTGGAAGCCAAGGTGGCGTCTGATGTGTGCAAGCTTCATCCCCTTATTGATGAGTTCATACCAACGCTTGAAGGCGAGAATGGAATCTGTTATACACACCCAGAAAAGCTACCAGGTTTTTTTTTTTTTTTTTTTTTTTGGGTCTAATTAATTAATATTGTTTAGTGACTTGGAATACCGTTTGATGCATTGCATAGGTTATACTCATCATTGAATTTCTCATTTATTGGGAGACACGTCTTGATGTGCACGGTGACCGCATGCATGAAACTAATTGTTTCAGTAATGAAAATGATTTTTTTTCCCTTTGAAACGGATCTAATTATAAGGCGGTTGAGAATGACGGCAGAACATTTATACTCTTTACAAATGAGATCACAAAAAAATCAATTATTAACATTATGATAAAACGTTTTTAGTTTTAACATGACATAATTAAATATTCTTGTTATTTTTAGAGATAGTGACAATTTTAAAAAAGATTAATTAAAAATCCAGGTATGTAAATTTGGAGATAAAAATAAGCGGACACCTTGAAATAAAAGACAGTTTAAAAAATTATGTCACTTTTGCTTTGTCTTTCTTGCAAATGTAACGTAGCAATAAAAAGTTCTGTCCAATCCTCGTATTGTCGTTCCTAGAAGATGATATCTTGAAAGAAAAAGGCACCTGGGAGTAGCACTCATCGCTTTTATATATCCAATTTGTTCGATCCTCTATGGATCGGGATTTTAGATTGATATGTTTCAATAAGATCTAGGTGTCTTCTCTCAGAGACCTATAAGGGAAGTTACCTTAGGAAATAGCAAATAATATAAGGAGAGTATTTTGGGTACAACAGTGATATTGGGAATTTGGTACGATAGTGTAATTTACACTAGTTTTTTTATTCTCTTTCTTCAAAAAAAGTTGGCACAATATTATAGGCTTGTCGTAAGTATAACAGTGGTATTATATATTTTCTCACTGTAAGAGTGGGGTGTGCACAGTAACAACTAAAAAAGAGAGTAAAAAAATGTGCATAACTATAGATTTTTTCTTTTATTTGTAGGGTTTATCCGTGGGTAATAAAATTTTGAATCTTTAGTGAATTTTAGGGGCTCAATATATAATCTATTGCTGTAGCATTAGAATTAGGGGAATAGATTTGTTATGTTATAAGAAATAGAAATGTTTTTCGTGCACTAACAAAAAAGCATGGGCCCGTGAGAGTTTCAAAATACAAAAAAAAATAAAAAGTTGACCGCTATGGTTTTTGTGTGTGCAAGATGGAAGGAACTTGTTATGTAAGAGGACCAATACAATCCCCTTAGAATTAATATCTTTTGAGAAACTTTCTCTTATTTTACTCTTAGATGTTTGTCCTTATTGGAGCTTCTAAAATATAATCCCGTAGATCATATTCATACACACCTAGCTACGTTACAAGAAAGTGCTTGAGTTGGCGATGACTACCAAACTCATTAGTGGCATATATCTTAAATTAGTCATTCAGCAAATGAAATGTAAATGTTAGTCCTTAATTTTCAGCAATATATATATATATATATATAAGACAAGATATTCTTATACCGGTCTAAGAGTTAGAAGTCTTACACTCAACCTTAACCATTGATCCACTTGTATCTAATGGCTCACGTTACTAAAAAATTTGAGCCCTTAGATATAAATAGGATCAACGAACAAGATTAAGAGTGTAACTTACACTGGTGTAAAATGATCCTGGCTCTATATATATATATATATATATATATATATATATATATATAAGTATTTTCAGCAATATTTTTACGTAACACCAAATTGACGGTTGTATGTCGGCATCAACACACAAAAGATGAGGTTGCTGCCTTGTTACTCTTTTGATGGGGTGCTTTTCTTTTTTTTTCTTTTTCTTTTTTTTTGAAATACGATCGGGTGCTTTTCTGATCAAACCTCCTAGTTATTTTTATAGATTTAACCCCTATATAAACATCAATCATATATTTACAATTTCTAATTGATTGTTTAATGTTATTGTTAATTAGGTAACTGCTAATAAAGATAAAAATACAAAACTATTCGATCCCTTAATATTGGAAAATCAATTCATTTTTCTTTTTCTTTTTTTGTTTTCCTTACTATGCTTCAACCACACCTTTAATTTGAATCCTTTATAAAACTAATTCGCAAGGATTTTCATTGGATATCTTCCCCTCTGCAAGCCATTTTTTTATATTGAATTAATGTAGAACTAGTAATTCATATGACTATTGATACAACATATTCGTCTAACATAGAAACCACAAAAAGGTTGAAATGAGCTGTTAAAATAATTTCAATCATTATTTTCCATGACCTACATCAATTGTTAGCCATTCATTCATGGGCTGTAAGAGATCTGTGCATACTTCTTAGTACATATATCTTTCTTCATTCATATGTATGCATCATCCATGCAATACTTGTGCACGTGAGAGAAAGCAATCCTATGGACTGAAACAATATAACGTTTTGCATCTTTGAATTAGTAACATTCATCAATATAATGTTTTGCATTCCTCATATTATATTATTTCTTGAAGCACTCAGAATTGATTTAGAATCATGCATTTTTGTTGTCATTTTTAAAATTATTTTATTTCAAACGGTATTATCGTAATTTTACACTTTTATTTTTAATTGCCTTTTAGAATTATTTGACATCATACAAAAAGGTGCTTAACACTTCAATTATTAATTGTTAAATTTTGATATCGTTTTAGCTTCTTCTTTTTTTATGTGTTTCGGCATCATTTCTTCTCTTATCATTATGTGTTAAGGTATATGCATAAATCACATACTAAGCAGAAGAGCTCCTTTACATAATGCAAGATGTATGAGAAGTTCTTGTGTGAAACAATGCAGGAGTAAGCAATGATGGACAGATCCGCCACTTCTTTCATAAGCCTTCTAAAGCATACACAACTGGAACAAGGAAAAGAAGAAAGGTTCACACTGATGAAGAAGGAAGTGAAACAAGATGGCACAAAACGGGCAAAACTAGACCAGTTTTTGCTGGTGGTGCAGTGAAGGGTTTTAAAAAGATATTAGTACTCTACACCAACTATGGCAGGCAAAAGAAACCTGAGAAGACTAATTGGGTGATGCATCAATACCATCTTGGCAGTAATGAAGAAGAAAAAGATGGAGAATTAGTGGTTTCAAAGGTCTTCTACCAGACACAACCTAGACAATGTGGTAATTCCATTATAAAGGATCCATACGAAAGAATATTGAATGACCGAAGTAGCCACAATGAAAGTACAATACCTAATAATACAGCACTTGTGGATTACTACAGTACTGCTCCTTATATAAATTATGACCATGTCCATGTTCATGTTGATACTAACAGTGAAAGCTCCCCACAACTTATTTCAAACTTAATTGTCCAAGGTGATGGCTCTTACATTCGCGTAGCAATGGATGCAAATAAAGCAAGAAGACTGGACAGAAAGTAAGGCTGGGAAGAGCTTCTGGGTTGCATATATATATAGATGTCTATTGTTTCTTTTACTAATTATATAACAATATTTATATGTGGGATATAGAATGAAGGAATTCCAAGGTTGAAAAAATAAGTTGGCTTCCATATTGGGACCACATGGGATGGACTTATTCATAATTGACTTTGATTGAAGTTGAGAGGCACACAAGGTATTTGCGGTACTGTGGTTTGATCTTGATTTGAGTGTATAGGTACATTTGTAAAATCTTACACTTTGTTTACAGATATTATAATTCAGTAGGGTCATTGTCTATTGACTATCCATCACGATGTCAATATATACTATGTTTTGCCTAGAAATTTATGTTTATTAAATGACAGAAATATCTTATCAGCAGAATGATATATTTATAAATTTTTGGTTTACAAATATATTATATCTGATCGGTAATACATTCTTGAGTAGAGTATAACCGGTCAGATTTAGTGTAATTTGTAAGTTTGTAAAAAAAAATTTATCAATATAATCCTACTCATCTTATTATCATATGTCTATGCAACTTTGCTAAGAAGCTTAATCCCTATATATACGGGTGTTTGGTAGAATTTTTTTTTTTGAGATTTTCCGAAAAGTAATAGCGGTAATCATATTTACTATGTTTGATATAAGATTTTTGAAAAAATTTCTGGGAATCTATTTTTTTCGAAATTTTATTTTATGTACAATTTTATTTCAAAATGCCATCCATTTGGTGGTATTCTTGGAATCCCTTGGAAAAAATTTACACTTTTTTGGAAACAAAATGTCATTTGGTGGTATTCTTGGAATCCCTTGGAAAAAATTTACACTTTTTTGGAAACAAAATGTCGTAATATTTTGACCTACCAAATAGCTTTTTGGTAACATTCATATAAAAGTGATTTTCTATCATATTTCATATTTCTGGGAATCATAATTCTCAGGCATAAAAAAAATTTATCCTTTACCAAACATCTCATTAATTTTAAAACAGAGAACCTCTCTTTTTCTCATCCCATTAATTTTAAAACAGAGAACCTCTCTTTTTCTTTTTCCTTTAAATATAATAAATTCACTGGATTTTGATGGTGAAATAATGTAAGGGTCGTAGATTTGTTCTTACTTATTTCATAATTATTAGGAAAGCCTTTATAATCGTTTTTTGAGCATTTTTTTTTTAAGAAATTCGCTATATATGCCTTCTTTTACAAGGACTTTTATTCATTTCTTGTTTGGATTTTATTTTATTTTATTTTTTCACGAAAAAATGAATTTCATGTTAGACCCTTGAGTTATTAATTATGGATTTTATTTTGTTTTGTTTTAATGGTGATTTGATGAGGTATTAAGTTCCTTGAATTTTGGCGAAAGTAATTTTGATCAATGTATTTACTCATCAAAGTTATTAGGAGAAAATTCATTTTTCTTGTATTATATATATAAATGAATGACATTGTTTGTTTATGTTTGTGTTAACGTTGATTCGCTACATGCATTTTTCCTTTTGTGTTGTAACTTCTTAATCTTTCTTGGTTAACAAATTAAGGGAGGTTATTCTTATAACTTTTTTTTTCTTACAACCTTTTATTACTATTTTTGTTATCGTCGGATTATAAAATAACATTAGATTTGAATTTATTTTCATGACAAAAATAAGTGAATTTTTTTAAAATTTATTTTTATTTATTTGCCTTAAATGCATTAGATGGGGATATAAAATAAAAAAGAAGGAAAATAAAAAAAAATTATATGTATAAAATTATAAGGATATAATTGATATTATTATTAAATAATTAATTTAAATTTAAATAAATAATTTATATTTTTCGATACATAATTATAATTTATAATATGATAATAATATAAGATAAAAATTGAGAAAAATAAAAAATTTATTTATATACAAGACCACAAGGAGTCTAAGTGATATATTTTTATAACTACAATGAATGTAAGTGAAAATTTGAAATCACACAAGGTCAAATAATAAATCATAAAATCACAATGGCTGAAAATAGATTTTTTCCTAAATTTTTTATATAAAATATTAAATTTGTCTATCGTTATATTTATTTTCACGCTAGTTATTACAAGATAGAATTCATCAATATTTAGTTTAATATTTATTTATTAATATACCTTTTAACTTAATCAAATAATATTATCATTAATGTTACGGACATTAAATGATTTAAAAGAAAGAATTTTTTAAACTCCATGAGCACATAGGAATTTCTCCCATTAATATCTTAACATAAACATTATCCACCAACTTATTGACTAAGGTCAAGTACCAATAGCGTACGCGGAAAGAAAAGAAAATCTGAAACTTTGAAAAACACAGATTGGAAAGCGTGTGCTTCAAGGATCACGACCTATATCTAGCCAGAATAAACAAACCTACAAAGTACAAGCAAAAGCAAAACAAAATTCTTCCGTGAAGTGCAAGGTTTTCTTAATTTCATTGTTTATCCACAAACTAATTAAAAACGTGTCCTAGCTCATTAATTGTATATCCGACCGGGTTCATTGTTATTTGTTAACTTGTTACAGCTGGCTTCTTAGTCAACAAAGTGCATAATATGTAATAGCAGAAAGGTGACCTAAAATTTAACAAACAAAGCGTCTGCAATGCATTGCGATGGAATTCATCATTACAATACCGTCATGTATGTCGCCGATATAAGTTGGTTGCTAGTCACAACTCTGTTTGAAATTATTCCTGTTGATGCGTTCTTTGTTTAATTTAACTTCTATAGAATTAGTTCAGAGTTTAATCAGTTTATTTAAGTTATTCAAAAAAGTATTATGATCCTATTTTTAATAAAAAAAATTATAAAAATGAAATCACACTGAGAACACTTTTTGCATGAAGGTAAACTAAATTATAATAGTTTTTAATTGAAAATAATGACATTCTTTATTGTATATGTAACTAATTCAACCCGGTAAAAAAAATAAATTTGTGCTTTTTTTTTTAGGTTAAATTTGTTGGAATTTATATATATATATATATATATATATATATATATATATATATATATATATATATATATATAAATTGTATAGACAATCTATTGGTTACGAAAATTGTATAGACAATCTATTGGTTACGAATAAGAAGTTTGGTAGTGAAAATGTGTGTCTTTTCGTCGAAAAACAGATGTATCTTTTCATCCTAAAGGATGTGTTGTTTCATCCTATCGGACATGTTGTTTCATCCTAACAGACATGTTGTTTCATCCTTGAATGAGTGTCTTTTCGTGTTGAACGAATGTGTCTTTTCGTGTCGAACGAATGTGTCTTTTTGTGTCCAACAGATGTGTTGTTTCGTCGTCGAATAGGTGCCTTTTGGAACGTGACTTTACGTTGTCTATAAATAGACACTGACACCTTCAGAAAATGAATCCAGTTTTCTGCACTTAAACTCCGGTGTGATTTCCTCTGGCAATTGTTGTGTTCGTTTGGGCTGTTGATTGGTAGTGCCACCATTCTTCAGACGTAATCCGTTCTATCCTGGGAGACAAGTGTCCATCAACCTTAGTCATCAGTGAGGGGGCAAATTGTCTTAAGAAGACACGTTCTTTGGGCTCGGATTTAATTCCTCTACTTCTGACATATCATTCAATCTGTTCTATCATTCTGCTTGCATCATCATCTGATTTCAAGTAAGTCAGTTCTTTAATTTTAATATTTATAATTGCACAGTGATAATTCTGATCATCTACCTCCTCTGGTTCTATACATGGGTTCAATCTTTTAGTGATATAATATCACCTACTGTCTTCAATAACAATCTTAAGACAATTTGGTGTTTTGAACCTGTGATCAGTATATCATATTTCTTTTATATACTGCTCTTTATTTATTACGTGATTATTGTATTAATCTGTGTGATTGATCGAAAATTCTGTTTGTATAACAGAAATTGAATTTATAATCTATGTTAATAGAATTTTCATTTGGGAAGAAAATTTCCGAGAATGTTCTTTTGAAATTTATCGGTAATGTCTTCGTGCAATGGAACAAATTAAAAAATAATAATAATATATATTTTTTTGACAAAAAACCTCGGGATGATGTCTATGCTTCATGTACGATTTTGTCTTTACATGAATTGTTGAAAGTGCATAACATTTGTGTTACTCGATTTTCGTGATTCTTATTACTTTTGAATAGAATTTGGAATTGGGTGCACAGTGTCAGTTTTTGCTTTGCAGTTACCATTATTTTACATATGTATTTCTTATTCTCTTCTCGAACTGCGTGTTCAAATTACTTGGTCACAAAAATGGATTATATGATGTATGATGATATGGTGACATTATTCTTATTATTGGCTTTTCTCGATAAACGTGCCATAATGGTTTTGCATAGCATTTGAAAGTTGAATGCATAGTTACTGTTTTCATCTTGATATATATGATTGTTTTTCGATTTGGATATCCATTTTTCTGGTTTCATATTGGTTTTGAAATATAATTGCTTTTCGATTTTTGTGTTGGAAATAATAATTGTGTTTGAATACTGGAAGTTAAAAACGGTGCAATAATACATATTGCTTTTGATTATCTGTTTTGGAATTTAAAAAAAAAAAATTCTTTGACGCTGGCATTTCCTATTCAAAAGTTGCGTACCAATTTGGTACCAAAACGATGATTACCTGAAATGGTAAACCATTGTGACTTGTGAGTGTAACACTTACACTATGGGTTGTCCATTTTTATTTGGCTTTTCATTTTCAAATGTGTGTACGACTGATATTGGCTTTAATTGAATTTGCAGTGAGGCCATTATTATGAAAAAAAAATTGGTTTTTAAACATTGCATATATTTGAAATTTGAAGTTTAGTAACTTCTATGGTGCAGAAAGATGAACGAAAAGTTCAAACATGTCGGTTGATGTATTTCCATTAATGCATGCAAGTATATTATGTATTTAATGCATTACATAAAGGGGGGGAATATACGTAAAATGCCATTGGAAACTTTTT